GTTTGTTATTACCACCTAAAAATACTCGTTCTTCATGCAAACTTTGTTTTGAAAAAGGATAATTTTCTGAGGAGTCTATTTACATCATTATCCAATATACATGCAGTAAATACATTTGACATAAAACACTTTTTGAGGTGTTACAGATGCCAACCTGACCTTAGGGACTTAAACAATGATTTCAGTACACTTGGACCTCTGCTGCCTTCAACTGACGTATCTGGCAAGATAGACTACACAAAGGAATCAAACATGACATTGACGCCAATTTAAAAGAAGAGACAGAAATATCTCTCTACTGTCAGTGTAGACTGATTCTTCCAACAGCATTCATGTAGTCGGAAATGACTAGTTTCAAAGTCATATGCAATCAACCCCTTGTTTTGAAAACTTGAAATTAAAAGGTTCACGTGTTCCACAACTGCCAACAACCCCTTTTTTTAGGCAAAAAATAACAATTATGAGAAATAATAGATGGACTTTTAACAAGAGGCCATAAATCATCCACAAATGTTGATGGGAACGCGACCGAGTGTTTGGAAAAAACTCTTTGCCTTAAATTAGAGGGAAATTGTTATCAATCTGTTCTGCCAAAATCATATTTAACCAGTAAAATAAATGATGCTTATGATGAAGTGAACCCACAATTTTTGCGTTCTTCAGTGGTATTGTTCACCTTATAACTGACTCTCCTAAAGATTAACTTTGGAAATTACAGACGGTCCAGGATGATCAGTTCCTTTTTCTTGAGGTCAGTCAAAAGTGGGAACTCCCACACTTCCTCTTCATCCTCGTACTTTATCGAGTAAACTGTTTTTGATGGATCTTTCGTCACTTTTGCGATGGATAGAACATTTTCAGTGTACCACTGGGGTGGACTGTCTGCTGTCTGGCAAAGCTTGTGTTCCACTTGTTTACCAACTAACAAGCTTGGTTTCTTCAGGAGTGAATTGAGAAAGTGTGTAGAGTTTGTGATAGCACGCTTGACCTTTTCATCTTGGATTTTCTTCAGGAGTTTCGCTTTTTGTATGCGTACTGACGATTCCCTGTCTGCTGGAGATGAATACTGAACTGCTGAGGTTGGATGTGTAGAAGTGCCCTGGTTAGCAGGAGGAAGAATCGTGAAATCTGATGTTGAGGCCTCGATGTTATTGTGTTCCAGGATGCTGACGAGGTGGCGCTTCATCTCTGCAACACTGAAGTCACGCCTCTTCCCATGTTCTGTGGTTCCCAACTGGAAGAACTCCTTTTTAGGTGATTTTAACCCCAGAATTCTGCTGTGGAAGGATAGTTGAAGGTAGATTCTTCTTCTGATTTCTTCTTCGGGCACATCTTCTTCATGCAGGGCATCAACTCTTTCCTCAACGACTTGCGGAGTGAGCCAAAGCCCACCTTGTATGGTGATTTCTTCGGTCATCTTGACTTTGTTCTGCAAAGCTGCCCTTTCCTTCTCCTGCTTTTTCTTCTGATTGGCTTGCAAATTGGCCCACCGTTTGGCTTTTATTTCCTTCATTCGATTATGGTAGTGGCTGATGATGTGTTTTGAGTGTGACCGTGCTGCAGCCATGTACTGTTCCTTTTCTTCAGGAGGAAGGCCGTCCAACCAGTCATGGGTCTTGTTGTTGGACCACATGATCAAAGCCTCCAGACTTACTGTTCTCGCCGAGGGTTTCTCCCTGACTAGCATATCTAAGTATGCAAAATCTCTCTCCCCTATCATATTTGTACTTGGGACATTTGAGAATTTCTCCTGTACTTCAACTGTCGGCTTCCAATACTTCCCTCCTGGCAGTTGATCTTTACACTGGCGTTGGAGTATTAACAAGATTGCGCAACAAATTATCTCCAAGGTTTGGATGCACATTGCCTGCTCTTCTGCATCCTCACACTCCTGAAACAGACAATCATAAATATCATCTTTTACGATGGGTGCCTCTTTGATGGCTATATCACCTTGGAGCATTCCTGATGCATCATCCTTCCATAAGTGGAGGGCTGTCTGTAGCTGATGAAGAACTTCATTCATTGCAAGGATGTTTTCTGCTGTTTTGACCATGTGCCAAAGTGGACCAGTAACAACTTTATGGACAATGCCCAGGGCACGCAGCTCTGCCTGAAGAATCTTCTCATTGGCATCCTCGGCCACGGCAAGCAGGAGAGAATTAGGCTCAGGCAACATGGAGACGAAATTGATTAGGTGGTGGCCGTGAAAATATGTTGCTGCTGCAGCCTCGAACAAGATATTTGCTCGATTACCAACGTAATACACAAGATGATTGGTGAAATTGTATTCGTTGCTGATATACGAAGTAAAAGCATCCTCAACACCAGATTTGTCAGAGCCGCGGTGATGATAAGCTTTACTTGCTGTGCGTACCAGCCGCACAGCATCACATTCATTTGTCACCAAGGTATGTGCATTTTTTCCACTTGCTGCGATATCTTCAAATGACTTAAGTACTTTCCCAACTTCATCGGTAAAGTTGATGATCGGATGCATTTTGCAATAGAACTTTCCGAATTGCTTTGTGCCCTCCTTCAGTTCTTCAGGAAGCTGGTCCCAGTTCTGCATCATGTGTGGAAGAAGCTCAGCCCTGATGACCTCCAGTTTCTCACTAAATTAAGGCATGGTGGCTCCCTGGTCAGTCATGGTACTTGTGATGGTGACCATCAGTTGCTTGAATGTTTCCTCTCGGCTACCGTCTGAAGTGATATCAGCGGCTAATTCACCCATCCTCTCCTTAAATGCTTCAATCACAGAATCTGTGTCTTTTTTTGCCATTTGCGTAAGGCCAAGTGAGCGCGAAGAGCCATCAGGTAGCGTCACCTGGAAGTTCTGGTATTTTTTATGGTGCTTAGTTGTTCCATCACCATGGATACAATTGCCCAAGGCGTCTTCCGGCTTGTTGCTCAACATGGCTTTGGCAACCTCCAAGTCAGCAAGATGTCTTGCCTCCAGGAGAAAACGGGATTTTGTTCCAGCGGCGGGCAGTCTGTCGACTTCTTTTCCTGCCATTTTCCTCAACACCACTCTGATAACTTCATTGGTCTTGCTCATTGACACATTCATTGACAGTAATGCCATTACTGTCTCCCTGACAGCATCTGAATACCTTCCATCTTGGAACGTCAAGATCTTTTCTTGTTCTATCAGAGCAAGCAGACTTTCAAGTTCAGAGTTCTTCTGTTGCAGAAATGCCACGCGGTTTTCCAATGCAGCCAGGTCATCATCACTTCCTTGGGAATCCAACTTTTTTGCTTTGTTCCTGAAGTAAGTGACCTGTTTCCTCATTTTGTCTTTTGCCAAGTTCACATGACTTGCTTTTTTCTCCAGCTCCATCAGTTGTTCCTGCGATTCCTTGAATTTTGCTTGTGAGTCCTCCAGCTCTTCCTTTAGGGCTGAAATTGTCTGTGCCAATGCAGCATTATTCTTCTTTAGGTTGGAAATGCTTTCTTGATGTCTTTTCATCTTCCGATTGGTGTTCCACACATTGTATTTTCCTTTTGCAGCGGATAGTTTGTTTTCGAGCACTTCGAGTTTAGTTTTCTGTTCCAAATACATGGATTTATAAGATTCCATGTCATCTCTCATTGGGTTGAAGGCAGCATTAAGTTTATCTAGGTCATCTTGTGCCTGTCTGCACTTCTCTGACAAATCTTCTTTGTCCTTCCTTTCGTCCTCAAGCTGAGTTTGGACACGTCTTGTCTCTTGTGCTGCAGCGTATCTTGTTTCACTTAGAACTTTCTCAAATGATTGCTCCAACGTACNATGTAGTTAGCCTCCTTGCAACTTTTTTCTTCTCTACCTTCTCTAGTGCAAGATTTTGCTTCAGCTTCCTCTTTCTTGGGGTATCAGGACCCACTGTTGACCGTTCCCGAATCATCAGAAAGGTGCCCTCTCGCAATCTCTGAAGCTGCTCGTCCCTGCCCTTCCGTGTCTTACATATTGCTTTCTCCTTCTCAGCCAGGCGTTTTACAAAACCCTGAATATTTTTGGGGTAATTTTCAGAGCACTGCGTCAGTTCCATCAACAACTCTGCAAACCGTATAGAGGAGAATGAGCAGTCCTTTACCAGGTATCCATGCAGCTCAAGTACAAGACCATTCTTGATTGTTGCA